TTTGAAATGTATTGGCCTCATTATGGAACAGTGCAGTTATCAATTCCTCTAATTAGGTGATGCACTCCCATAAGAAATTTAACATTAAAGCACAGAAGAGAACTGGTTAGAGGCATCCATTGCCAGCATCCCCTGCCTCCATGATGATGATGAAGGGAAGCCGCTGCCTCTCTGCCAGCTCTCCTGCCCCCAGACTGTAACTCCTCCTTGCAGACTATAAAGCACATCAGCAGGTTTTTTTTTTTTTTCTTTTCTTTTTCCTATATGATTTGATTTGGTCACTAGCACCTCCAGTACCTTTATGACATTTGAGAGATTCTTGATAATAAATCAAATGTCTTAGCAATAAATTGCCTGAGAACTTAAGACCCACTGAGCATGTGCAGTTTGTGCTAATATGCAGTATATTCCCACCACTCTTTTCTTTGGCGCTAACTCATGGCTTTTTGCTTTTTTGTTTGTTTTTCATTTTCAAGACAGGGTTTTGCTATGTAACAGCCCTGATTTCCTGGAACTCATTCTGTAGACCAAGCTGGCCTCAGACTCACAGAGACCTGCCTGCCTCTGCCTCCCTAGCACTAGGATTAAAGGTGTGCACCACCACTGTCCCACTCTTAACTTTTTATTTAGGTATTAGGGAATTGCACCTAGGACCTCTCACATGCTAAACATTCTGTGTTGAGCCTGTTGAGCCTCAGCCTCAGCCTCACACCAGGGGATTATAGTTAGACACTTAACACTCCTGAGCTACACCTCAGCCTTCTCACTAGGCTATTCCAAACAAGTGCTGCACAGGTGAGCCGTAGAGCCCCACCCCAGCCTTTCTTTCACTTTTCATGTTGATTCAGTTTCTCACTACATTGCTGAGGCTGGTGTTAAACTCACTCTATAGGTCAGGCAGGCTTTGAACTTTCAATTTTCCTGCCTCAGCCTACTGAGTAGCTGAGATAGCAAGCTGAGAGCACCAGGCCTGCCTTTCTATTCTTTTTTTGCACCGCTTCAGTGTTGGTGAATAAACTCAGTGCCTTCTAATCATTATACCGCCAAGCTGGTCTTCTAGCCCATCACTGCTTTTTTACAGAGCTAGGGAAATTTCTAACTAAAATTTCTAACTAAAAATCTAACTAAACTTTTTTTTCTGTAAGTAAACTTAGCAAAACCTTTTTAAAAGAAGGATCCCCAGCCACATGTGTGTGTGTGTGTGTGTGTGTGT